GACACACAAAATTAACCACCACAAACCCTGACATTTACCAAGCATTTACTATATCCCAGGCATGTGCTAAGTACATTACTGATATAATCTCATTCTTAGAGATATACATGTGTGAGAATTACATAGAGGAAAAAATTCTCTTATTAGGTGACTTCTAGGGTCTCTTCCTGTTACAAGATTCTTTGACGTGATATGACATTAGGGAAACTAGGATATTGAGGTGGGGCTTGAGAACCTAACACCTAGAAGCAGAAATAAAAACAACATTATTGGTCACCTCCTTCTGTGGACTGAGAACTGTGCTAAGTGCCTTACAAATATTTTCTCACTAATTCCTGAATAACACCCTATGAGATAGGTACTACTAGACACTCCATTTTCAGATGAGGAAATGAAGGCACAGAGAGGTTAAGTAGCTTGCCTAAGAAACAGAGCTGGCATTCAGCTCTGTTGACTCCAAGTCTGTGCTTTTAACCACCAGGCTTCCAGAGGTACTGCAAAGCCCTTTACCATGGTCTGGATGCTGGAGAAGGTGCCTTTCCACGGGGCCATAGGGGTGCAGGTGAGCTGGAGAGGGAGGGAGAGGGAGAGCATTGTCATAGGAACAGAGAGATTTACTGCGAGGACGGGTGGCATGCAGGCCAGCTGGGGCTGAGGAGTGTTCTGGAAACAATTCCAGAGGGGTCTCTAACTCCCATTCCCTTCAGCAGCACTTGGTAAACCTCGGCTTCGCTCCCTCTGTCTCTTCCAGGGGCAGGCAGGACAGGATGTTCTCCGAGTTCCAGCAGCAGCACCATCCCTCAGAACGCGCAGCAGAGCCGTGATTAGGGCTGAAGCCTGGTTGTGGGGCAAAGGCCTCGCCTCACCTTTCACCGCCGTCTCGCTTGAGATGTCGCAAGTATTTAGAGACTTGCCTTTTCCCCCCCTCTCATCAGCTTTATAACCCTGAACACATTCTTATTTTTCTTCCCATCACTCAATTTATCAGCCCCTGGAACAAGTCTGTTACTCACCCGTGAGCCTAGAATGCTCTCTGGTGAATTGTAAGGCAGTTCACACTGGTTTGATTGGGCAGAACAGGGTGGTGGTGGTTCTTTTCTTGGGTTTAATTTGCTTAAGTTGTTCCCACCTCCTCTGCTCAGGTCTAGCGGCTCTTTGGGAGCTCTGGTGGGGTATTTCGGTAGCAGGATAAGAGTGGTTAAGAGCATAAGTTTAGGCTGCGAAGGGGGCCTGGGTACATGTCCCAGGTCTGCCATTAAGGGCCACATGACCAGGGACATGTGGCTTAACCTCTCTGAGCCTCAAAGTTCTCATCTGTAAAATGGGAAAGAACATTACCTGCCTCAAAGGATTGCTGGGAGGATGGAACGAGAATGCTTATGGAGCACTTAGCACTGCTCCAGGCACAAGGTTATCCCCATAATCTTCCCAGCAGGACAAGGACAACCACACGTCCAGGATAAGCGTATTGGGATCAGAGAATCAGGGATTATGAAGCCAGGCTTTTCTCCCTAGACAAGGGTGGAAGTGAAGAGGAAAGAGCTTGTTCTAGTTGAAAGATCCAGTCAGGGTTCCTTAAGGTGGTAAAAGCCAAGATTTTCAGGATTGAAAGAGACCCTGGAAATCCTCTGACTGAAAAGAAGGCAGCTCTGTAGCAGGAGAGTGAGAAAGAAGACGGGCCAGAGTGACCTCCACGAAGCACCACTTATGAAGGATTTGAGGTTTTGACGGGAGTGCCTGGCGGCTAAAAATAGGACAGGACTGTGTGGGCTCCGTGAGCCTGGTTGCCCTCAGGTGGAGAAAAAAAGTTACCCCGTCCATCAGAGGGTCAGTTCCTCCTTTCCCCCGGAGGAGATGCTGGAGACATAGGAAACTGGATGGACCAGGTCCTCGTTGCCGTAATCTAGTTATAACCAACCCATGTTTCCCGTATGGTCTGGCACAGAAACCAAAGGAAGGGTATGCAGAGCTGGGCCCCGCTGGTTCCTTGGCATGGCTGCTCTGTCCTCTGGGAAAGATGGAGAAACCAGGGCTGGGAACCCATAGGCCCCTAAGAAGAAAACATCAACAACCAAAATTACAGTTGGGAAGAACTGCCTCCATCTGCAAGTAACTGGGCAATTACCTCCTAATTAAGCTCTCATTAATCTGTTTTCTGAGGGTGATAGTACAGTACTTGGTAGGTGCACCCCACCCTGCTTGTCACTAAGGTGTTGAAGATTAAGCATTTCACATCAATCAAGGTGGAACTCTTCTATCTGATTAAATATAATAGTCTGATTTATTCCAACATCATGAGGTCTTAAAAGCCATGCCCTTTTATCTTTGGAGCACTGGGAGGGGTTGCAGGGTTTTCATTTTGAGTCCTGTGTTACAGGGAAGGAAGAGGAAGCACCAGGAGGGGAAAAGACACAAGGCAGAATTTAGACCAGTGTTTTTCAAAGTGTGGACTATGGATCTCTCTTGCATCTGAATCACGTGCCTATTAAAAATGCAGATTCCTGGGCCAGCCCTGATGGCCTAGCAGTTAAAAGTTTGGTGCACTCCACCTCAGCAGCCCAGGTTCAGTTCCTGGTCGCGGAACCATACCACTCATCTGTCAGTAGCCATGCTGTGGTGGTGGCTCACATAGAAGAATTAGGACTTACAACTAGAATATACAACTACGTACTGGGGCTTTGGGGAGGAAAAAAAAAGGGAGGAAGATTGGCAACAGACCTTAGCTCAGGATGGAACTTTCCCAGCAAAAAAATAAAAACAAATAAAAATGCAAATTCCTGGAGTCTGCTTCAGTCTTGAGTCTGAAACTTCCCACGTGATTCTTACAAACACCCAGGTCTGAAAATCTCAGGGAGAAGCAGAAAGTCTTCAGGGATTTTAAAGACACTGATAAAGGAAGTACACAGACAACTCAAAACACCATTTCAGCCAATCATTTCTAAACCCATCCCAGAAAATCTTTCACTTTAGCATTTAGCCTAGGTAAAGCTTGACCATTCCCCTGGTTACACTTCATCCATCTACAGGTGGTGATGCAAATAGAAAAACGTCTGGCCCTTTTGGGCCAGAAGGTCAGAGAAGGAGGAGCATGTTTGTGTATAAACCAACCTCTAGATCACCAAAGGCTGATGTCTTGGTTCTAACTCCCTGGGCTCAGGTGTTGCAAATGCTGACTTAGGGCCCCCTTATCTACTGATAACAAAGGTGAACAGAAGTGATCTCCAGAAATGGTTCACACACAGCTCCCAGGTTCTTGAAAAACCACAAGTGATTGGCAAATGTTTCTACTGTAGACACTAATTCAAACAAACAGCTCATTTCCTTCAAGAGCTGTGGCTGCGAGCCTGGACCGAGCAAGGAGGGGGAAGTCTTCCTCTCCCTTCCCCACACCTTCTTCCTCTTTCTGATGTCAGACTTTTCTGACGCGGAGTCTGGACTGGGGGAAAGAAGCTACTGATAAAGAAGGGGGACCCCCCTTCCCCTGCCCAGGCCACTGTCCTCTCAGAGTTAGTTACAGACCTTCCATTTTACTCATTTCAGGAAGCCTGGGGGCCACAAGGCTCTGAATCACTGTCTTGTAAGGCATTGTATTACACTGAGCTTCATTCAGCATGCTCCAGGGAAATGCAGAGTTGGGTCTTGCCCACCAAAGATTCTAACAGGATTCTGAAAGATTCTGATTAGAGGCAGCCTGCGTAACTCCAGAACAGGTGAAAGTGGCTCACACTTTTTTTTAAATAACAGATTATTGAGATATATTTCACATACCACATAATTCACCCATTTAAAGTATACAAGTCAATGGTTTTTTTAGTATTTCAATACTTTTAGTATTTGTACCATGCCTAAAAGAAACCCTGAACCTGTTAGCAATCACTCCCCATTTCCTCCAAACCCCTTCGTCCCCCAGCTCTAAGGCAACCACTAATCTACTTTCTGTTTATATAGATTTGCCTATTCTGGACAGTTCACACAAATGGAATTATACATATGCGGTCCTTCGTGACTGGCTTCTTTCACTTAACACAATCTTTTCAAAGTTCATCTATGTTGTAGCGTGAATCAGTACTTCATTCCCTTTTTATGACTGAACAATATTCCATGGTATGAATATACATTTTGTCTATCCATTCATCAGCTGATGGACATTTGGATTGTTTATACCTTTTGGCTATTATGAATAATGCTGCTGTGAACATTCAGCTACAAGGTTTTGTGTGGACAGACATTTTCATTCCTCTTGGGTATATATCTAGGAGTGGAATTGCTGGGTCACATGGTAACTCTACGTTTAACCTTTTGAGGACCTGCCACTTTTTCCAAAGTGGTTGCACCATTCTACATTCACCAGCAGTGTACAAGAGTTCTAATTTCTCCACATCCTCGTTAACACTTAGTATTATATGTTTATGATTTTACCCATCCTAATGAGTATGAAGATATATTTCACTTTTTTTGATTTGCATTTCCACGGTGGCTAATGATGTTGAGTATCTTTTCATGTGCTTGTTGGCTATTTGTATATCTTCTTTGGAGAAATATCTACTTAGAGCCTTTGCCCGTTTTTAAGTTGGGTTATTTACCTTTTCATTATTGCGCTATAGGAGTTCTTTACATATTTTAGATCAAGTCTCTTATAGATGTGTGATTCGCAAAAATTTTCTTCCCTTCTTTGGGTTGTCTTTTCAGTTTCTTGATGTCCTTTGAGGCATAAAAGTTTTAAATTTTGATGATGTACAATTTATCTGTTTTTTCTTTTGTTGCTTGTGGCTTACAATTTGAGAAACATTGCTAAAATGCCACTTGAAACTCTAGAAGCTTTGAGACCACAAAGTTTGTAGGTCGTCTTTGACAGGGATTTCCTCCAAGTTTGGGATTTCATTCCCCATCCCAGCCAGCCCTGGCTCCTTCTCCGGGCTGCAAGCATAGAGGCCGGGGGCCCTTCACCATGTTGACATCTCCTCCCTTTCCTGAGGTCTACCACAATAGAGCAGCTGAAATGACAGTTTGGAAATGTCCTTTATTGTGAAAACTCAATGGCCTTTGTCTCTGGGATTTGAAATTTTGATGCAAATGTTGGCAGCGAAGAGTTAGGAAGGAGGAGGGGAAGGACTGGGAGAAGAAACCCTGCCATTGATTTCCATGGTGAGTCATTCCGACTCTGTGTTGTCTCGGTTTTCTCACCCATAAAATGGGGGAGAATACCTCCATCTCCCCAGCTCAGTGCGGGTACTGTGAGGATGAATTCATCTGTATTGGTTAGAACACTTTGAGATCTTGGATTAAAGGCATTACCGGGGCACAGGGTATTATTATAACAATAAATGATTTAAGAGCAGGGAAGGTGAGGCCACTAAAGCAAGAATCCACAGGGGCAGGAAGAAAAGAGGCTCTGAGCTGTGAAGAGGCTGTGGGTCCTAGAGCGCCTGGGCCCAGACAGAGGTGTGGAGTCTTAGACGTGAGAGGGTGTGATTTCTCACAAACTGTTTGGGTTATCTCACCTGAATTCGCCATGGCTTTACTGAGTGCATCCTGTGACTTCTGCCCTAAGGAAAGATGGCGATCTTTATTGGAAATAAGCTATATAGATTAAAACAATTAGAAACAACGCCAGACATTATAATCAAGTGTTGAACTAAATATAACAAGTGTCAAAAAGAAAACAGAATAGGTGGTGAAGAGCAGCGTTCCCGTTACAAATCCCAGGTCTACCACACACTAGCTGTGCCTCAGTTTCTTTCTTCTGTGACTGCAATCGTTCCTATAAAGGGCTTAGAATAATGGCTGGCACATAGTAAGCACTCAGCAGTTGGCTGGATCTGGGATCTTGTCAGGCTCTGCTTTTGCTGGTTATGTAATCTTGGCTAAGTTGCTAGATCGGTGCCGGTGCCATCCTCAGTTATTCTTTCTGTAAAATAGGGATAAGGACACTTACTAGCTTAGAAGGTGGCTGTGAGAATGGAGGGAAACAATATTTGTAAATGGCATAGCACAGGCCGTGCAAACAGTCAGCGTTCACTAAGGAGGTATAATTACCGTCACGAGCACCGTTACCAGCGCTGGCGGAGGACTGAGGGGTGTGCTCCACAACGGCTTAGTGAAGTCAGCGGCCGCCTTTGGAAGCTGGAGTTGGAGGTAGTCAGGAAGGACTGATAGATGCAGTGATCTATCAGAGGAGGCGGGATCAAAGAAAGGCGGAAGCCCGAGGATGGACTGCCCTCGAGACGGCAGGAAGGGACTGGGGCTTCTCGCTTTTTCCTCCAGTCCGCAGCCTGGCCGGCTGTACCTGGGAGCGCAGAGGCTGTTCACCTCCGACCCCCTTCCGCAATCGCGGCTGGGACCTTCCCTGTCGGCGGGAGCAGGGCTGGAGCAGACCCTCCCCGCTGAGGAATGTGGGTCCCGCTTCCTGGGCCGCCAGGCAAGCGCCTACCTCTTCCCCCGCAGTCTGGAGCGAGCAGACCCGCTGTCTTCACCCCACCCTCCGCTGGGATCCTGTTTCAAAGTCACCTGAAAGCCATTTCCTCCCGCGCCCGCCCCGCCCCTCCCCTCCCCTCCACTCCCAGTAAATCACCTGGAGCTTGCGTTTGCCTGGAGCAGTCTTTTTGTTTTTTGTTTTTAAGGAGAACTCTGTGAGCTGTTTGCCAGACACACTTGTCTACACCCGGATATCAAATATACCCAGTGGTTCTGATACCACTGTCCCATTCCTTCTCCCTAGGAGCTGGCGATAACGCCTGACCAATGGAGCCTCTTTCTGGGTCCCATCCTGGGCTGCTCTCCTCCTGCCTTGTGCTGGGACAGCATCTTTCTTTCATGGCCTTTATTGATGAATTATTTCTGGTTTAAAAAATTATGTTCTTGCTCAAAATCCAGCCTGTCCTTATGAACGTCCCTGTCCCCTCCCCCCTACTTTCCAGGTGTGTACCTTTCCACGCCCGTATGATTACAAACAGACATAAAAACAAAGAGGTTATCTGTCTTCGTTTTACAAAAATGTGGTTTTCTAGTACACAGGTTTCCCATCTTGCTTTTTCCCACCTAACAGTCTCTCGGTGGAGCTCCCTTCAAGTTATCGGCTTCAATCTCTTGTCAGCTTCTTTGAGGTTTGGATTTATATTCGTAAAGGGTCACGGGGACCGAGTTTCGCTGAGGAATTCAAGACGTGCCCTTCTGGCTCAGAAGAGCAGAGGTGACCCGCTCTGGGAGGATCAGGATCCCCAGATGCAACTCCATCTAATGACTCACTTGAAAGCCCCCTTTCCTGTCTCTACGATGGGGGAGCTTTTGGTTGTCGGGTGCCCTCTCGGGAGGCGGTGATATCAGGTCTGTCACACCAGGTGACCTCCACCACGTGCGTCTTTGTATCTCAGAGCGTCTGGGCTGCCCGGGAGCGGCGCGCGTCGGGCAGGACCCACGGCGCGGGCCGCGCGCTCGCCCCACCTGCGGGCGCGCATCACCAGCCGCACGCGGGCCCCGCCGCCGCAGCCACCGCCGCCGCCGCACCCCGGGCTCGGGCCTGCAGCGCCGCGAAGTTTCCCGGGGCCCCGGCGGAGCCAGTCGCCGGATTCCAGCGCGGACCCGAGTCTCCACCCACTGGAAAAATTCCTGGTCCGCCCCTCCCGCCCTCCTCCCCTCGCGCCGGCTCCGGCCTGGCTCCTCCTTCCTGCCCCGCGCTGGGGTCCCCGGGGGCCGCGCGCGCAGCTGGCCGCGTCCCTGGCCGCCGAGGGGCTGGCCGTGGGCGGGCGCGGCCGGCAGCCTCAGCCCCTTCCGAGAGCGACTTTCAAACTCGCGCCCGCGTCGCCGCGGCACCTGGGCAGCCTCGCGTTCTGCGTGCCCGACCCGCCAGGGCGGCGACCGCTCGGTGAGTGTCCCTCGGTTCTCCCCTCTCCCTCCGCCAGTGCAACCGGCGAGGTGGGGGGTGCCCGGATCCCTCCGAGGCCCCCACCCTCCCGGGGCACCCGCCCCAGCCCTCTGCGGGGTGAGGACTCGGGGCGGCCGAGGCGGGCCAGGGCTGCGCGGGCTCCTCCAGGGCGACCCTTCCCGCAGAGGGCTGGGGCGCGGGAGGCTTGTGAAGGAGAAGTTTTCTGTCCTTTCGCCCCCACCCCGGAAACAAAAGGAGCCAGCGCGCCGGGTGGCTCCGGGAGACTCACTTTGAAACCGGGAAGGCCGCGAGGTGCGCCCACCCGCTCCCGCTGCGCGCTCGGTTGCCCGCGGGCTGGTCGCAGCCTCGGACTGTGGGCCTGGGCAGGGTGGACTCTTCTGGGGAAGGACCCGAGCCTCTGGTCCCGGGAGCCCAAGAGGAGCCCGCAGCCTGTTCCGGGTTGGTGCCACACGGCGCTCGGTCTTGGGAATCTCAGCTCCTGTGCTGGAGGGAGTAGAGTGGGTGCCGGAAATGGGGTGTCGGGGAGCCGAAAGCGCAGAGATCACTGGCTGCCACAGTGCACCTCGACCTCGCCCACTCCTGAAATCGGTTTGGTTAATTTGCTCCCCATCTTCAGCCCTTTGGTTTGGAAAGCCAGGATAAGGCATGTAAACTTGAAATTTTCAAGACGTTTTTAGGTAGCAACTTTTATTCTTTGGAGCTGCTTTTGGAAACAAAAGAAAGAACGGAGTGGGAAATGTAATGGTGGGAGGCTGGAGAGGTGTGGCCTGGCGGAGGGCGGTGTTAGTGGCCGCCTGAAGAGTTTCATCCTTGAGGTCACTCGCTAAGCTGTTGTCAGGTGAAGGGACCTGTCCTCTGGTCTGGGGCCCCCAGGAGGGACCCAGACTGCATCACCCTACAGGGAACCCTGGACTGGGGCTTGTCAGAGTCTCTCCTGTCCTGTCTCTGCATGCAGCCCAGTCACACCCACCTTGCTCGAGAAATAATAAGCTGGGAGAGTAATGACAGCCCGGAGCGGGCTCCCACTGAGAACGTCACCTGCCTCGCTTCAGGAAAATGCCTTTCCAGCCCCCCCTGCCTGGCCTGGGAGTGGAATCCTGAGTGATTTAGGTGGGAATGACTTCACCCCAGCTATTCCCTGCAGAAAACCTCGGGAGTGAGAATAAAAAGGTGTACCCCTTCTGTTTGTTACTCGCCCCTTCCCTGGGCTCCGGGGACGCCTCAACTCCTCCTTCTGTGCCTGCTGTTCACACTCGTGCTGCCCCCACTCCCTTCCAACTCCTCGGCTCCCTGGGCATCTTGCTCTGGGAAGGGGCAGGGAGTTGGCATGGCGTAAACCAAGTCCTAGAAGCAGAGAGAGTGGATTGTTTAAGAGCTGTTTTGGGGGGCTTTTCTACTGCCTTTTATTAGAAGTGGCATCAGGGAGAGTGGGAAGAGCACTGGTCTGGGAGTCCAGCACAGCATTTTTGCCTGGGTTTTAGTCCTGGCTCTGCTGCATGGCCTCAAAGGTTGATAGAGTCGCTGGGCTGGAAGGCACCTGAGATTAGCCTACTCCTTTTACACATGAAGGCAGCAGAGCCCGAGATGTGAGGGGATTGAGCTTGGTCCCCGTAGGCCAAATAGGGACCAGAACTCAGACTTCCTGGCTCTGTCTAATCCATGCTTTTCCCCTAATCACCTGGGCAAGTCACGGATCTTTTCTGATTCAGTTTCCTCTCGAAGTAAAGTGGAGTACTTGCCTGCCCTTTCTCATAGAGGCTGTGGTTAAGGACTGTGGGGAAAGTGCTCCATAAACTCTTAGACAAAATAAAGGGCTCACTGTGGCTGAGAGTGGCTCTCAAGAGCTTTACGATTTACTGGATATGTCCCACGTGTGCCATAAGGACATAATAGATACCAGGAGCCAATGGTGGAAGTCTACACCCCTGGCCTGTAATATCTCAGCTCCTGAGTAAACATTTGCCTTACCAAATCCCCAGCTATCCCAGGGTCACTGTGTTTACACTGGGGGAGGCCAAAGGCCGTGGTGTGAGGGATGACCAGGGCTGAGGGGAGAAGGGACTGTGTTCCAGATGTGTGGCTTGCCCCTTCACCTCCACCTGCCCTCTCAGACCCTTGTGAAAGCTCTGGCGCTGACCTTGGAGAGTTGATTGTGAAGCTATCGAGAGCCATTCTCTGTTGTGTTGGAGATTGAGGGCACTCTGGTGTTGGGAGGGTGTTGCTTTTGCAGCTGCACTGAGGACTGTCTTCAGCTCCTCATTTGTCTCCCTCCCCCATCCCAGGCCGCTGCTCCGGCTCTGTCCCGCCTCTCTGGCCAGCTGCGTGTCCAAAGGCCTTTGTCCCAGGGCTGTAAGCCCGCCCTGCTTCCCTGGCAGGAGCCCTCAAGCTGGGACCTGGAAGCTGGAAATCACTACTGCCAGCAGGAAGGATCCTCATTTCCAGAGGCCCCCGACTTGCCCCGGCCAGATTCTCTCACTGACTTTTCTTATCTCTTCTTGCTTCCCCTGAATGGATGGATCATCTTTGTTTTCTTCCTACACACTTGCCTCTTAGTTCTATTTTAAAGTATTCATTCATTCATTCAACAGTTATTTATTTGGCACTTACTGTATATGAATAGAGCTGGCCAGATGCAGGGGCACAGCATATGCAAAATATATAGCCATCATGGACCTCATGGAGCTGACTTCTAGTGGGGAAGTGGACAATAAGCAAGACGGATAATTGGAATAGAAAACATGTTAGTCATAAGCAGAAAAATATGATGGGGAAGGTGGATGTGAATTGTCTTAGAAGGGGTGAGATGGCGTTTAGATGGGGTGGCCTGGGAAGTGTCTCCAGGAAAGGACCATTGAGGTCATGCCTGGAGGAGGTATTTCCCTTCATCTCTGATATCCCTTTCTTGAAACACAGTTCAAGCAACACACTGTGGCCTTGAGGAGCTGGGTTTGCAGTTGGACGCACCTGGGTTCAGATCCCAGCCTGACAGCTTGCTAACCCTGTGGTGCTCAACTCCTTTGAGCCTGTGTTTCTCACCTGTAAAATGGAGTTAGTCATCATACCTACCACATATGGTATTGTGAGAATGAACAATGAGATAACATATATTAAGTGCTTAGCAAAGCCCACAGAGATGTTCAATAAATGATCCTCTTTTATTGTTTCTCTAACCAAGTTCTGCAGGGGTGCCTCAAGATATTTAATGGCTTTGCTAAGGACTCTAGATGAAAGCTTTTCATTTCATTAGGCAGGAGTGGAGAATTAGAGGGAGATGAAAATAGAAACTCTGGTTCATGCAGACTTTCTAGTTAGTAAGACTTTCTCTCCTACCCCAGATTTCTGATGGTTGAGGATGCAGGGCGCCCAGGTGTGTGCTGCTTCCCCTGGGGGGGACAGGGTGAGCTGGGGGCAGCCTTGACCCTCCCTTGCTCTGGAATTCCCCCTGCTTCTTAACCAGCCCTGATGAATCACACCTTCATCCCTGGCCTCTCCACTCTGCCTCACAGCTGGAAGGCTCTCCGCCCCTCCCCCAGTGTCCTGTAGAGAAGTTATGCTCCCAAGGGGGATGAAGAGGTGGGGAAAATGAGGGAGGGGCTCGAGAGAGCTGGGCAGATGGTGAGTGGAGGTGTTCTAGGAGGCCTGCAGAGGTGGTGAGAGGATTCTGATGGAGGCTCAGAGGCAGCCCTGGAAGAAGCTGCAGTGGACCAGAATTTAGAGTAGTAGAATGCACAGACACTAAGAGATCTCCGGGTCTGGCTGGACTTGGACTGCTCAGCTCTGCGCTGCTTCCACCAGCCAATCTAGGAGTCTCTTCCCCTCTCAGCTGGAACCACAGACCTCAAAGGGAGGGGCCTGATCTGAAAGACTGCTGTCAAAAGCTGTGGTGAGTGGTTTCCTGGGGACCCTGCCCTGGCTCAGGAAGCAGGGATGGGCAGTGGAGGGTGAGGCCCAGGGAAGTGGTCATCAGCCAGACCACTCCCCCTGAGGGCCCCGCTGCACATGCAGGACAGCCAGGCAGGCCCTGTGGTGAAGGCACTTTCCAGGCCTGCCTGTTGGTGCCTGGAGACCCAGTAAAGCTAGATATAATCTGGCCTCAGAGGAAGTGGCAAATAGGGCTCTGAAGAGCTGGGGCATGTTTGTGATGTGGGGCGACCTCAAGTCAGAGGAGAAAGAAACTGGGCAGGTCAACTAACCTGTGATCCTAGGCAGGTGCATTTAGAGACACTGGCAGCCCCTCTGGTGTTAGCTGTCTGGGGTAAAGGCTGGCCTTATTAACTGGGTCTCTCTTCTTATTTTGATCAGAAGCTCTCTGAAGGCAGGATCTCTGCTTGACTCATCGTTGTTCCCACATAGCATCCAGAACAGTAGAGAGTGTCACCAACTGGGCGTGATGGGCTTGCACTGGGGTCCCATCCTGAGAATAACTGGGGCCTGGTGATCTCATCTGCTCCAGCTTTTGTCCCATGGAGTTAGGGGGAAGAAGGCCATGGGGTGGGGGCAAGCCCAGCCCTGGTGGGCTGTTGCCCTCTGGCAATGCAAGCAAAGGGAGAGTGGGGCTATTTACAGTTCTCTTGGCTGGCTTTTGGGGAGGCAGCCTTGTTTAAGCTCAGAGAATAGATTGTTAAGCATTCAAACTGTTTCATGGTGAGCAGACTCTAGGGCTGAACACAGGACCAGAACAAGGTTCCAATGGGTACAGTGGTGGCTGTCCGTGCAGCCTTTGGGAAGCGCAGTTTGAGGGTCCTTGAAGTCACTTTGATTGCTGCGGGAGTCTGGTTGAGAAGGCAGGGAGGGAGGCAAGAGCAGTGAGGAGTGAAGTCTGTTTTACTGTGGCAACAGGATCCTGAGAGGAGAGATGGGTTCTATACATACTGGAAGCTCTTAAAAACTCATATCCTTTACTCCCCAGGCTGCAAGACTCTGTGTGTATGTGTCACTCTCAGAGGTTCTTGAGCAATAGGTGGCAAATGTTTATTGAAAGGAGAAGGGAACCAGTGTTCTTGCAGCCTCTATCTGCCCTCTGCATTTCTACATCTCCAGTGCTTGCTGCATGCGAAAAAATGTTTGTTGCATGAGTAAAGCCCTATTGTGTGATGAAACCTTAGGAATTAAAGAAATTTTCACCCTCTTCACAAATGTTCTCTTCCTGCCTGAAAGTGTCTAGGTTATAAGATACTGAGAAGTTAACCTGTGGTCAGCTGCACTGGCAGAGGGCTAGGCAGCCCTGTCTTCCTGCAGCCTGGAAAAGCAAAAGGATGCCTGGGGTCTTTGGGACCAGTGCTCCCAGGCCTACTGCAGAGTTTGCCACCATGCAAGTTGGGCCCAAAGTGGACAGTAGGGTGTGCTTATAGTCTCAAATATAGTTCGTCCCATAATGTGTCCCACATAATATTCCATAACACCTCTCCTGCCCTATTCAGGACTTGGTCACCCGCAGCCTTGCTTCTCTCTATGGAGCAAAGAAGGCCTCACATTAGCCAGGACTCAAGTTCCTACATTTTTTTCACACTAGCCTCCTCAGGCCCTGTTTAGCTTTTATATATAAGCTTTGTCATCCCATTTCCAAGCCCCCAACCGAAAGGAAGCAGCAAAGGGAAGAGTGTAAAGAGACTGGCATGGAGAGGAGAAATGACCACAGTGCACTGAGAGTTGACAGATGGGTGGAGATCTAAACATCGTGTAAAGCTGGTATTGGTGTAAGAGCTGGCTGTCATTTATTTCGGGGGATGGCCTGACACACCTTGGCCCATGTGGAGATCATCATTTTGATAATTGATGCTTTGCTGGTAATTGTGACCCTGAGTCATCAAGAAAAGGTTATATTCCCTTGACTGTTTAGGAAGGCAAGAAGGAAGTGTTTAACATGTTTTTAAAAGATTCCCGATCAGATTAACAAATTTTTAAGTGTTGATACTTAGGTGGTAATATCACTAATGCTCTCAACAAGACAAGATGAGTGGTGTTATCTCCACCTTAGAGAAGGAAACTGAGTCTGCACTAGGTTGGTGACTTGTCCAGGATCACTTGGTGAAGACTTGGCAGCAATGAGGTTTGAAATTCTGAACGACTCCGGAGTGCATGCTCTTAGCTCTACCCCAGACTGCTTGGAAAAACTCGAAGCTCGGCACTTCTCTCGAAAATGTAACTTTTTGGACAGCTCTCTGGGCAGGGGGTCCAGCTAGTCAAGGTTTTACTGTGTTACAGCAGAGCCAGGATGGGCCCAAACTTAATTCAGCTCTACCCAAGCAGACTGCCAGTTACCCACAGAGCACTTGCTTCAGTGGAAACAAGAATGCTTTCGATATATTTACGTTTTAATCACCTACCTGGGTGCCACACAGCACTTTCTGAGGCCAGAAAATGACAGGGAGGAGCTGCAGTTAAAAAAATTCCAGGCCTGTTTCCATCAGGAGCTTTGTTCCTTTGTTTTGGTTCTGGATGCTGCTGGAAGATGCTGTGCTGTGCAGTCTTGGTGCTGGTTGTTCCAGTCGGTCTCCAGGGCGGTGGGGCCGCCCCTGCATAGGAACCCCAGTCCCCGTGTTCCCACTGTCCAGATCTGGCAAGTGATGATTTTATCATATCTACTTCTCATTTATTATAGAGACAGAATGTTAGAGGTACAACTGAAGCTTCCTTTGTTTTTCTCCCTAATCCTTTTCTCTTCCCTCCCTCCCCAGTAGTAACATTCTCCTGAGTATGTTGTTTATCATTCCTGTGCATATTTTTATATTTTTTACTGTAATCTGTAATTTATAATATCATGTTGTTTTAATTGACATATATCATGTTGAATGTGTTCTTCTTGAACTTGCATTTTTAATCCAACATTGTTGTCTAGTTTTATTTGTGTTGATACGTTCAAATCTAGTTTATTCATTGAACTGTTTTATGGTGTCTATTGTATAATTATATCACAGTACCCTGACTGATGGGCATTTAGGTTATTCCATTTTCTCACCACTATAAATAACACTGTATTGAACATCCACGTGCCAAGCTTCTTGTAAGTTGTGCTTTTCAAGATACTGCCAAATAAATCCCTCAAATGATTTGTAACCAGTTTTATATTCTTACCAGAAATACGGGAGCTCGTATTTCACCAATGGTTGGATTGTGTCTTTCAATCTGGTAGATATGAAATGGTATTTTTAAATTATTTTATAAATTGGGTTTTGAAATTAGCACGTTGATTACAGGTGGAGATGAGCACTTTCCATGTTTATTGGCCAGTCATGTTGATTATTCTGTGAGTCTCTGCCCTTTACATTAAAAAAGGGGTTTTTTTCACTAGGTAATCCATCCACTTGATTCAAACCCCGAAATGGAGTACAGTAAAAGCCTCTCACCTCTGTCCCGAGCTCAGCCTCTCTGCCATGTGTTAGAGGTTCTTGTGTACTTTTTCAGTTTTAATTGCCATTGTCTTTTTCTTGTTGATTTTTAGAAATTAAAAAAATATGTTAAATAATCTTTTGTAGGTTCTATTCATTACATATAGCTCTGGATTGTCTTAACTTTATTAATAATGTCATTTTTCATAGGGAAGTTTTAATGATTATTTTTTAAAGATTTTATTTTTCCTTTTTCTCCCAAAGCCCCCCGGTACATAGTTGTGCATTTTTAGTTGTGGGTCCTTCTAGTTGTGGCATGTGGGATGCCGCCTCAGCATGGCTTGACGAGCGGTGCCGTGTCCGCGCCCAGGATCCGAACCAGTGAAACCCTGGGCTGCCGAAGCGGAGCATGAGAACTTAACCACTCAGCCACAGGGCTGGCCCTGGAAGTTTTAATTTTAATGTCAGATTTACAATCTTTTGTTGTACTTTCTGTGTTCAAGAAAATGTTTCTTACTCTGATTTTATGTAAATATATATGTTCTTTTAAACTGAAGTTTTGCTTCCCACACTTATGTTTTAAGTTTACCTGGAATGCATCTTCTTTATATGACAGTAGTTCTCAACCCTGGCTACACATTAAAGCCTCACGAGAAGCTTTAAAAATGGGGACTGATGTCTGAGCCTCACCTCAGATCAGACCAATAAAATTACAGTTTCTTGGGGTGGGGTTCAGGCATGGTTATGAAATGCCCCAGGTGACTTTCATGTCCAGCCAGGGTTGAGAACCACTCAACCGTGTAAGGTGGAACTGATTTTATTTTTTCCAGAAGAATAGCCAATTTTTCCTGTACTAGTTATTGAAGTCTATAGTTTTCCTGCTGACTTGTTACTTTTAAAATTTGGTTGATTGATGATTGATAATTTTATTGAAATATATTTCACATGTCTTAAAATTCACCCATGTAGGGGCTGGCCCCGTGGCCGAGTGGTTAAGTTTGCACGCTCCGCTGCAGGCGGCCCAGTGTTTCATTGGTTCGAATCCTGGGCGCGGACATGGCACTGCTCATCGAGCCATGCTGAGGTGGCGTCCCACATGCCACAACTAGAAGGACCCACAACTAAGAATATACACTTATATACTGGGGGGCTTTGGGGAGAAAAAGGAAAAAAAAAATTCACCCATGTAAAGTGGTGTTTAGTATATTCACGGAGTTGTGCAACCACCATCACTATCTAATCTTCAAACATTTTTATCACCACCAAAAGAAACCCTGTACCCCTTAGCAGTCATTTCCCATATCCCCCATCCCCAGGTAACCACTAACCTATTTTCTATCTCTATGGATTTAACTATTTTGGATATTTCACATAAATGAGTTTATACAATATGTAGTCTGTTATGACTAGCTTCTTTCACCTAGCATAGTGTTTTCAAGGATCATCCATGTTGTGTCACATTATTAGTTCTTCATTCTTTTTTTTATTGCCAAATAATATTCCATTGTATGGGTATACTACGTTTTGTTTATCCATTCATCAGTTGCAGGACATTTGAGCTGTTTCCACTTTTTGACTATTATGAATAATGCTGCTATGAACAGTTGTGTACAGTTTTTTGTGTGGACATGTGTTTTCAGTTCACTTAATAGGAATTTAGCAGGAGTAGAATTGTGAAGTCATATGGTAACTCTGTTTAACTTTTTGAGGAATTGCTAAATTATTTTCCAAATAGGCTGTACTATTTTACATACATTTTACCAGCAGTGCACAGGGTTCTAATTTTTCCACATCCTTACCAACACTTGTTATTGAACATTATTTTGATTTTAGCCATCCTAGTGGGTATGAACTGGTATCAATTATGGTTTTGATTTGCATTTCCTTAATGACTAATGATGTTGAGCATCTTTTCATGTGCTCCTTGGCCATTTGCATATCTTCTTTGGAGAAATGTCTATTCAAATCTTTGTCCATGTTTATTTTATTATTTTATTTATTTATTTAGGTATTTTGAGGAATATTAGCCCTGAGCTAACATCTGCCACCAATCCTCCTTTTGCTGAGGAAGATTGGCCCTGAGCTAACATCCGTGCCCATCTTCCTCTACTTTATATGTGGGACACCTGCCACAGCATGGCTTGATGAGTGGTGCTAGGTCTGTGCCCAGGATCCGAACTGGCAACCCCTGGGCTGCCAAAGTGGAGTGCGCAAACTTAACCACTACGCCACTGGGCAGGCCTCTCTTTTGCCAAGTTTTAAATAGGGTTATTTGTTTCTTTACTGTTGAGTTGTAATGATTCTTTACATATTCTGGATACAAGTCCATTATCAAATGTCTGATTTACAAATATTTTCTCCCATTCTGTGATTTGTCTTTTCATTTTCTTGTTAGTATCCTTTGAAACAGAAGTTTTTAATTTTGATGAAGTCCAATTGTTGCTTGTGCTTTTGGTGTTGTGTTGCTCAGTGAAGTTCATAAAGATTTACTCTTATATTTTCTTCGAAGAGTTTTGTAGTTTTAGCTCTTACATTTAGGTCTGTGATTCATTTTGACTTAATTTTTGTGTCTGGTGTGAACTAGATGTCCAAATTCATTCTTTTGCATGTGACTATCCAGTTGTCCTAGCACCATTTGTTGAAAAGACTATTCTTTCCCTGTGGAATTGTCTTGGTACACTTGGTGGAAATCAGTTGACTGTATATGTGAGGTTTTATTTCTGTACTCTCAATTCTATTCCGTTAATCTATATGTGTATCTTTATACTAGTACAGCACAGTCTTGATAATTATAGCTTTGTAGTCAGTTTTGAACTTGGAGCTGTGAGTCTTCCAACTTTGTTTTTTTTCAAGATAGTTTTGGCTATTCTGAGTTCTTTGATTTTCTGTATGAATTTTAGAATCAGCCTGTGAATTTCTACAAAAATCCCAGCTGGAATTTTGATAGAGATTGGATTGAGTCTATAGATCAATTTGGTGAGTACTGCCAACTTAAGAATGTTAAGTATTCTGATCCATGAACGTGAGATGTCTTTCCATTTATTCAGGTTGTCTTTAATTTCTTTCAACAGCATTTTGTGGCTTTCCGTATATAAGTCTTGCACTTCTTTTGTTAAATATGTTTCAAACTGTTTTATACGTTTTGCTACTATTATAAATCAGATTGTTTTGTTTCTTAATTTCATTTTTGGATTGTTCATTGCTAGTGTACAAGAATAGAACTGATCCTCGTGTATTCTTCCATCTTGCTGAACTCTTTTATTAGTTCTAATACTTTTGTAGTGGATTCTCTAGGATTTTTCTGTATATGAGTAGAGATAGTTTTGCTTCTTCCTTTTTATTCTGGATGTCTTTTATTTCTTTTTCTTGCCTGATTGCCTTGGCTAGAACTCTAGTACAATGTTGAATAGAAGTGTCAAGAAGGCATATCCTTGTCTTGTTCCTAACCTTAGGCAAAAAGCATCTAGTCTTTCTCCATTAAGTGTGAAGTACCTGTGGATTTTTTTGTAGGTGTTCTTTATGAGGTTGGGGATGTTCCCTTCTATTCCTAGTTTATGTGGTGTTTTTATGATGGAAGGGTGTTAGATTTTGTCAAATGTTTTTTTCTGGATCTACTGAGATGATCACGTGGTTTTTGTATTTTATTACTATCTAGGATTATATTAACTGATTTTCCCATGTTAACTCAATCTTGTATTTCTGGGATAAATCCCCATGATGGGATAAATTTTATCATGGGATAAATACCCATGGTCATAGGGTATACTTCTTTTTATATGTTGCTGGATTCAATTTGTTAGCATTTTGTTGAGAATTTTTGCATGTATATTTATAAGGGGTATTGGACTGTAGTTTTCTTGTGATGTCTTGTTTGGTCTTGATATGGGGGTAATGCGGCCTCATAGGATGAGTCGGGAAGTGTTCCTTCCTCTTCCATTTTTTTGGAAGAGTTTAAAGAATTGGTGTTAATTCTTCTTTAAATGTTTGATAGAATTCACCAGTGAAGCCATTTAGTCCTGGGCTTTTCTTTACTGGAAGTTTTAAAATGATTAATTCAGTCTCTTTACTTGTTAACAGGTCTCTTCAGATTTTCTGTTTCTTCCTGAGTCATTCATTGGTTTGTGTCCTTCTAGGAATTTGTCTATTTCATCTCAGTTATCTAATTCATTGGCATATAGTTCATGGTATTTCCTTATAATCCTTTAATATATTCTTTTTTGTCTTTGGTGTTCTGCATTTATACTATGTATGATGTGGTTAAATGTGGGCTTATTTTGTTTTATTTATTTATTTATTTTATTTTACTGAGGAAGATTTGCCCTGAGCTAACATCTGCTTCCAATCCTCCTCTTTTTTTTACTTGAGGAAGACTAACCCTGAGCTAACATCAGTGCCACTTGACCTCTATTTTGTATGTGGGATTCCACCACAGCATGGATGGTGAGTGGAATAGATCTGTGCCCAGGATCCAAACTCATGAACCCAGGCCGCTGAAGCAGAGTGTGTGGTACTTTAACCACTCAGCCATGGAGCTGGGCCCAAAATGTTGACCTGTTTTAAATTTAACTTGGTGTGTGTCTTCAAACTGAGGATGAATGTCTATCTTCAGGTCTGGAAAATTCATGTACATTCTATCTTTGAAAATTGCCACTCCCCCGTTCTTTTTTCTTTTTTGGAAATCTGTGGAGCTCTGTGTCTCTTAATGTTCCTATTTTCTATCTTATCTCTTTGCCCTGAATTCAGGACAATTTCCTCAGTTTGTTTTTCCCCATTTCACTAATTCTCTCTTTAGTGATGGTAAATTTCCTGCTTGACCTACCTATTGAGTTTTAAATTTCAATATCATATATTTCATTTCCATTTAGTATTTTTTCAAAGTCTTTTGCAGACTTTTATTTCCAGCTCTTGGAGTATCACTTTGTTCCATCTTCTGGCTCCCTTGTGATGGCTTGTTTCCTTGTGTGGTTTGTAATTTTTATACTGAGCTCCTCTTTAGCGGTTGCAGAGAGTGGGGTGCTTAAAAGCAAGATATTTTGGGAGTCTGCCCTTATTGGTGATGATGAGGTCTAGGGCATATCGGATGTGTGGGTGGGTGGCTGAGGTGGGGTAGAGGAAAAGATTGTTGGAAGGCTCCTCCCCCAGAGCTCTGCATGTCTGGCTGCTGCTGCTTATACAAGTCTCTGCTCAAGAGACGTCTCCTCAGAGCCTTCCCAGGGCGCCCTACCTAATGGGGCCCCCCTCCCCCAGTCCCACTTTCTTTTCCCTGCTTTGTCTTTCTCATAACACTTAATCACTTTCCAGGACTATATTAGCTATATGTCTGCCTTTATGGCCTTCTTCCCCACTGGAATGTAAGCTCTATGAGAGCAAGGATTTGTCTTATTCATTCCTGTGTCCCCAGAACCTGGCATATGGTTTATACTGCCAATAAATAGGAGTTTGAGTAGTCCTCTTTTCAGACAGGAAGTCATCTGAGCCCTGATTTTGCAGCTTTCAGCTGGGCTGGGTCTGACTGGGCAGCAGAGAAGAGGTGAATAGATAGATTGGCTTCCCATTCCCAAACCTTTTCCTGTGCCTCCACAGGGGGCGCCTTTCTCTCCCTTCATAAAAACCCAGAAAATACCATCCATCCTGTGTGTTTAGACTTCTGGCATGTGTCTCCACAGCTGCCAAATCGGGAGTAGGGAATTGAGTGCCAGAAGACCTGGGGGGAAAAAGAGCACAAAACCCCAGGAAGATCTGGGCCTTACCTTTAGGAGGCTGTAATTAAGAGGACAAAGCACTCACAGAAAACAGTTTAGGATACTTACTGCTTAGTTTCCCATACTTGTGACTCTGAGCTGCCACCATGCAGGCTAGTACCCACTACATTGCACGGTGAGAGCCTGTGGGTGAGGCGGGGTAGCCTGTGTTCTGGTCCTGGGTCATCTTCTGTGGTCACATAAGCGGTTTCTGGAGGCATCTACGGACGAGTTAGGAATTCCCAAGTGACTCTATTTTGGCCTCTTTCTGAGGTTGTGCTGCAGTGTAGGAACTTGTTCTGAGTGAAGTGTTGCTTGTAAAAGGGCAAAAAGTGCCTGAGGGCATTCCCACGAGGTGGGCTGAGGGATGGTACCTTTCCCTTCCATCTTTGGCTCCATCTCCTGGGCCCCGTGGAGCTGGTCCTGGAGAGTGGTGATGAACGCAGGCAGCGTGGGTTCCCGCAAGCCCTGGCTTTCCCTCTCACCTTGCTGTGCAGCCCTGGGTAAGTGGGTCAGTGGCTCTGGATCCTTGGGTTGTTGTGAGGAGATCACATACAGATGTGATTAGCACAATGCCTGGTGCTCCCTAATGAAATGTGAGTTTCTATTATTCCAGTCTGGCATCTCGGGAGCCACTTGTACCTCACTTCCTGATGTGTAAAAACAGGGATAATAATATCTGAGTCCCCCCATGTCCCTCCCCTCTGCCCCTGGCTGTTGTAAGGGCCGAAGGGTTAATATCCTCAGGCGTTGAGGGCCTGGGCTGGGGGAGGAGCGCATAAATGGAGTATTGTTGTGCTGGTGAAAGATCTGGCTTTGTTCGTGTCTTCAGTATTTGACTTCCTGCAGTTCGTGTCCCCTGTGCTTAATTGCTGGAGATATTTGCATGTCCTGGGCAGTGTGGCAGTCACCCGTGGGGCTGTGGCCTGGGTCCTCACCTAAGGGGACCTGCTGAATCGGGGTGGGAAGCTGCATTTCCTCTGTTAGGGGCCCCGCAGAATTCAGGAATGAAAGCAATGCAGAAAGTATGACCCACACGCGGAACTGGTTCTGAATAGGACGTTTATTGAAGAGGTTCTGCAGGAGGCGGCGGGCGCTTTAATTCCCGAAGCTGTTGGTGGCAGCCCGCTGCTCTGCTCGCTGGGCCTGTTAACTGCTAGGCTGCCGGCGGCGCCGTGCTGGGGAGGATGCCGCTCCCCGGCCCCACGCCGCCCTCTCGGTGCTGGGATGGGAGCCCTCTTGAGGAAAGCGGTAGGTACCTGGCTGGGGCCAGGCCAGGGGATGAGAGTGGGGTGTGCCCAGGACCCTCAACTCCAGGCCTCAAGTCTTGCCAAAGTCCCCTCTGAACCAGGCCAGCCACAGGCTTTGGGGCAAAAGGTGGGTTTTTCCCTTGGAGGTTCAGAAACTGAGAATCACGCAGGTGCAGGTGTAGGAGGGCTGGTCCTTTTTATGCCGCGCTGGCTTCTTCTGGTGGGTTTGTCTGTCGTGGCTCGGTAAGAGCAAGACAATCCTATGCTCCTTTTGGAAGTGACCACAAATGGTTCTGCTAGGGGGGTCATCTGATCGCTGAGCATTCAGAGTTGGGTGGTTCAAGAAGGGGCCCAGCGCACACATGTTGGGAAAAGCAGGGCTAATCTCCCACTTCTTCCTAAAGTTTCCTTTTCCCCGAATTCACAGAGGGTGGTTATTTTCGATAAAATCAGGTAGTGGCAGGTGGATGATGTGAAAGGAAGTCGACCCCACCCTGTCTTGTGCCTGATGGACGCAGCCAGGCAGGGGCAGTGCCCACCACTTCAGAGTTCTGGGCTCAGGTCAAGGGCAGACTGCCACCCGGACGTGACTGTCTCTCAACCTTGAATCAAGGCCTTGCTTTTCCAGGAGTGGGACTCTGCTGCCTGGGGTGTGCCACTCTATGCCATGTGCACCCCTCACCCCAGAATCTGGGGTTTGGTGACAGCTGCCCCTCCTGTCTGCATGCTGGTCCATATAAGCTCTCAGCTGAGGGAGAAAGCTCCTCTCCTCCCACGTGGGAACTGGTTGGATGAGTTTCTTGGGCCTCCCTGATTGAGGCTCCTCAGAAGGGAAGGCAGCGAGCTGGGGTGGGGGCTGGGGTGGGGGCAGGTGCGTGGGGTGGAGAGGCCCCCCCTCCCCCTGCCCCCGCCCGAGGCGCTGTGGGATAGGGATCCGTGAGGGGAAGTGCGTGAGGCCCTGCTATCTGAAGGGCTGGCTGCCTGCCTTGGAGAATTGACCTTGTGTGAGGCTGTAAGGTCTGCCTTGGAAAATCTACTTTCCTAACTTTTCTGGGTCCGGTGCCAGGCCCAAGGTCAGCGTCCAGGGCAAAGAGGGGGTGTTGGTTGGAGCTCTTCTCTTGCTGTAGTGCCTGAGGGATGAGGAAGGCCGGGCTGGTTGGACTGATTGCAGCAGTTCACAAAAGGGGGCTGCTCGCATTTATACACTTTACTGAGTCTGGATGCTCATGTGTGGAATTGGAGAGGAAGTTGTGTTTGGGGGAGCCACCCTGCTGGCAGCCTTGCCCCCTGATTCCAAATTGCTTGGGGACAGAAAGTGGGAATTGTGGGAAGGGAAAAACCCTCGGGAGGTAAGATGTACACTGACCCCTCCCCCAGCCCCTTTGGGAGCTACTGTTCTGGAATCCCAATGAGAGAGTCCCTTCCCGATAAGCCCTGGCATCTCAGTTTTCTAGAGTAGATGTTCTCTTCCTGCTTTTAGAAGCATTTAATTTATGCATGGCTTCGTATCTTCATGTTTATTTGGGGCCTTATTTCTTCCCCCTTCGTGTGGTTGGAATAGGTCTCATTCTTCTTTCTAGCAGATGCTCCCTAGGTCTCTCTTTGTCCTCCTTGAAGCTCTCTATGAACAGTTACACCTGACTAGGCCTCTGGGTTCTTCCTGAACACTCTTTGGCTATGTGGACACCTGTGGCCATAGCCCACATAGCAGTTTGTACCTTTTTAGGGCACATTCTCATACCTCATCTCATAGAGCCCTGTCTCTACCTGTCTCTTGAGTTGTTCTTCCAGGCCTGGCTTGGGAGTGCCCTTTCCAACAAACCCATTGCACATTCCTTCAGTCTGTCCTTGGCTTGCCTTCCTGCCTGGCCTCATGCTGCCAGATGCCTCAGGTCCTTGGGTGGTCCAGGCCCTTTCGGGACTCAACTTTCCCATGCTGCTGCCTTTGCATCAAATGCCCTCAGATCTCTTCTTCACCTGGCAAAACGTTACTCATCATTAAAGACTCAGCTACAATGTCACCTGCTTTAAAGCTGCCCCAGTGCCCCTGGCAGCACTAGCTACACCCTCTCCTGCTAGCACAGTTCATGTATTCCTACTTCTGTAGCATCACTCAAGGCGTTGCTTTGTGCATAATCTGTTTACATGGCTGTTTTTCCTTCCAGAATTCAGTTCCTCAAAGACAGGGACAATGTCTTATTCATTTCAGTATCCCCAGGGCCTAGCATCATCCTCAGAAGTGTTGAACGAATTCCCAAACTGGAGGCAATCTTGAACTCCTATGCCGCTCACCACACCGCTCTCCGCCTCCTCTTATTACTGTTGCACTTGTCTCTCCTGGTAGAATATCAGCTCTTGGGAGCGGGCTCTGTGTGTGGGGCATCTTTGTATCTCCCACAAGGCCACCACGTCTTTGTGCAAACTGAGTGCTTGGAAATGTTTGTCCAGTGAATTCTGAAGCTCGCAGCTTAGGAAGGGCAAGTAGCGTTATCCCTAAATGAGAGGTAGACAACGCGGCACTAATTTGTCACTGCCTTGCTCCTTATCCTCTAGCGAGTTGGGAGCAGAGCTAGGGCTGGTTTGGAACAGTGCTGGCTGGAGTCCCTGGGCTCATTCAGACACATTCTGCTGCTCCCCCTCTGTGATGCTCCCTGTGACTAGGACATGGGTGAACACCAGGGCTTTTCCTCGCATCGTTGTCTTATGTTTTGGCTCTCCCACATGTCCATCCTGAAGCTGGATTTTGTTTTTTCTTTAAAACCCAAGGACCAGTGTCAAGAATGGGTTTTATTAATCACTTATTTGCGTTTTTGCTGCCTCACGTTGCCTTAAATTCTGTTCCTGCTCAGGCCTGTTGTCCCCCATGCTGTTCCTCTCCAGCTCCTAGCAGCCTATGCCGCCTCCCTCTGTGGAACCCTGAGGAATGCGCCCTGCCTGCTATAGCAAAGGGCTCTGACTCATTTATACTTCATCTTCCAGTTTGACCTTCTGTTGGGCATGGATGTCAGACTGTTTTTCCTTTCCAGCTGAATTGCTTCATATTTCCCTTATCAGATCATGGTCCAAATCCATGTTGGGATCATAGATGACGGATGGTTGGTGGGAGTGGGTTAGATCATACTGGTTCACCAGGTTTAACATGTTTCTTTATTTTGAGATATGGATCGGAATTTGAGACACAAATCAGAAAAAAATCTCTCGTCCTGGTGCTTGTGGAACAAATAATAATTTATCCATCTTCATCATTTCTACCATTTATGATGGGTTTCCTGTGTGTCAGATGTTGTACAAATGCTCTACTTGTACCATCTCAATATTGGAGACCAGTGAGGTTGGTACTGTTGTGCTCATTTTGCAGATAAGGAACTTGAAGCTTGGTGACATCAAGTGACTTGCCCCAGTAAAGTGGAAGAGCTGGGGTTCAAACCAGGTCGACTTGATATCAAAGCCCGTGGATCAATTTGGTGCATTTAACTTCTGCTCTGTGGCCTCCCGTGTACACACCTGCTTGCTTGTGTATTCTCTCCTCCTTTGCTGAGAACTCAGAGAGACCTAATGGGGCCCCTCTGTTCCCACTTGGTTCCTGCTGAGATTCTCCACTGCCTTTGAATCTGATGAAGTAGTACATGCTGCAACTCTGGAAGGTGTGGTGCCTGTTCTCTCCCCTTGCTAACCCCAGCCTAGCTCAAAACAAGCAGTCCCTACACTGAGGATGGGGGGGGCAACAAGATGGTTAATTTTCAGGGCGGGGTCCCTGAATTTTGCTGATAAGGAGCGGTGGTCCTTTGAGCCTCTTTGACCTAGAGATGAGATAGGTGGGGCCTCTGGGAACATTGGGTTTGTCTGATTTCTAGCGCGATCTTTAGCTGCTCCATCTTCTGGGGACATTGTGTCATTTCCCTGCTTAGTGACAAATTGTGCTGGGAGCCAAATTGACCTACCCTGGCTATGAGCAATTGCAATTTCTAATGAACAGGAATTGCTTTCGTTTGCCTTTAGTGTGTGTTTATGTGGAACCTCCTGGTGGACTGCTTTTCCTAGGATATTTATAGGTGGACCTTACTGCTGTCCCTTCTCCAAACTCCTAAGTGGTCCCTTGGCCACTTTTGCCTTCCTCCCAGTTTTTTGTGGCTGGTCACTTACCATGTGGCATGGCCGGGCAGCTATCCCCCTGCTCTAGTCCCTTCTTTGGGGCCAGGTGTGATAGGACTGCTGGAGTGAATGAGCAGTCACAACTCCTGGGTGCCTCTTGGCCAATGGGAAACTTGCTGGCCGTGACTAAGGTGGAAACTCATTAGTCTAGGAGGAACCGGCTCAGGTCTTGACTTCGACCACTGTTTATCTTTCACCTGACTGTGGGAGTGGTGAGAGTCGCTCTAGGCGCAATCCTGCAGTCCTTCCAGCAGGCATTTATTGAGCACCTAGTGTGTGCGTTGCCCTCTGGGGGTAAAGGAAGGGTATGGGAAAGAGGGCCCAGCCCACTGGGTTTTATTGTCTAGCCCAGAAGACAAGCTTGCACATATGAACCCCCAAGGACCAGCGCTTTAAGCAATATTCAGGATCATTATAGTTCAAAGGAGCATGTGTGTATCAGTGTCTGATGGCTGCTGTAACAAACTCCGCAAACTCAGTGGCTGAAAACAACACACAGTGATTATCTTACAGTTCTGGAGGTCAGAAGTCAATCTGGGTCTGCAGGGCTGTTTTTTTTCTGGAGGTTCCAGGGGAGAATTTGTTTCCTTGTCCTTTTCTAGCTTCCTGAGGCTGCCTAGATCCTTTGACTTGTGGTCTCTTTCCTCCATCTGCAAAGCCAGCAGCCTGCACTTTCCAATCTCTTTCTCTGGTCCCTCTGCTTTTGTGGTCACATCAACTTCTGACTCCTGCTGCCTTCCTCTTATAAGGACCCTTGTGATTACATTGGACCTACCCAGATAATCTAGGATAATCTCAACTTGATCACATCTGCAAAGTCTCTTTCGCCATGTAGGGTAGCATTCATAG